GATGACTTCCAAAGGAAGACAGAAATGAGCAGCTACGGATATGGTGAGGTGATGGCTTTGATGAGAAAATCCCCTAAAAAGGCGACACTCTTCAGGCAGAAAGGAAGAATACACCTGCTTAATTAACTAGAAAATTCAACTTGTAGGATAATGGAAAGGTCCCAGGATACAAAAGGATTCTATGGAATAAACAAACACTTAAGGGAACCATGGAATGGAGCAGAGTGAGTGAGATACCATCAGAGGGCCGAAACAGAACACAGGAAGTGGCCAGGATCAGAGCGGTCATAAATGTGGGAAATGTAGGACAATGACATTAGAGAAAGTTAAATTACCCCCCCCCCCCTAGCAGCAGAAGTCGTGGGCAAAAATGAACTGTCAGGGAAGAGAAGAACATAGGAACTGTGAAACAATATATGACGAGAATAAATCACAAAGATCTGAGGTTGCTACTGACTACAGGTTAATAATATGAATAACAGGAATTTTAATGGAAGGTGATCTAGGGAACATGAAGGCAAAGGTTCAAATGGAGGAAGAGTGAGAATGAAGGACAACATTAAGATTCCAATCCAGAAGAGAGACAGGGCAGGTACGACGGGAAATGGAAAATGAATCAAGTAACAAAGACAACACGGGAGAGTGTAGACAGAGGCAAGCTAAATAAATCTGAATGTGCAAGATAATTCAGCTTGATAGTCAGCAATCGAGGAAACTGACAGTCCCCTATCAAAAAGGCAAGCAAAAAATGTAGTCAACTGTGGTAAGGAAGGTTGTGAAGGATGATATCCCCAACAGAGTGACCAGCAGTGAAAAATATACCATTTATGCTGATAAACCACTAAGAAGGAAGGATGGACAATCAATAACGTAACATGCCTGGAAAATTCGGATTGTCGGGCGAAGGACCAGATGAAAGCCATGTATGAAGGTGGAGGGGGGGAATGGACAGATAACTCATGCCTGATTGAGGTTGACAAAGGAGCATAGGAGACAATAGCAAAGGAAGGGGTGGTGACACCAAAGATTTGTACAGAAGCGAAAACCATGTCTGAGCAGGCCAAAGCTGAGCCACTATGAGCACATGACATGGAATGGTCTGAATCAAAGAGAGGACTCTGGGAAGAAGATGAACAGGATGATATGCATACAAGTAATATCCATTCCAGTTTTGACTGAGAGTATCAACAGCTTCTTCCAGAGGATGAGAAATGGGGGAGACCAAAAAAACCCAATTGTCTTGTTTCTGTAGTAATGTCTTCATATGGAATATCATGAATACCATTTTCATGCTCCAGCTGCTTTAGGAATATGAATGGGAGAAATGACAGGAAGCTATATCTTTGTAAATACATACCCTATTGGCATCATTTCTGTACACAGCCATTTTTTCTGTATGGTATAAAGGGTAGAGAACAATGGTCTTATAATTCACTTTGTTACTTTTGTATCCACACTCCTGATCCTCAACTTTCCTCTGGTACAGTATCCAGTAACAACCATGCTGTGTACCACTTTTGGAAATTTCTATTCCTCCATTGAACAGCAGAAAATGGCACGGGGTATGGTACAGTTATGAAAATACATGTACGCATCATTGAGTTATTAAGAACTGTCATTTTTCCCTGACTAGGTACCATTAATAGTTTTCTACAGTTGGTCTTCCTTTCCTAGATATGTTGAGAAAGAAACTTGTTTTCCTTTTACATCTGGAGATTCTTCTTGATTATGTTGTGTATTGTTACCTGGCACACATGGATGGCTTATACCACTGATCTTTGTGACCATGAATTCTCACCTGCTACAAGATGCCACACTTTGCATATAACAGCTAGGGTATGGTTTGTTGTAGGTCTCTTTCTGGACGGTCTTGATACCCCAAGTTAGTACATATACCTTTGTTTTCCAATTAATTAAGTATAAGGAATATCTTCATGTTCGAAATTCTAAATCCATGATCCGAGCATATTTTTCATTCTCCGAGTGTATGAATATTTGACATTATAAAGGGCTGTTACAAACCCTTCCCAAAAGTGATCAGTTTTCAGTTGCATCATACTACCTAAGAAATGCCAAACAATTTCAAAATATAGTTCTGATACATGCCATTCTACTGCATCTTTATATCGGCTATGGTTGTCATGTGACTTGCTGATTCACATATCCAAAATAATTTTAATATAATGTATTCTGTATTCTTGAAGCAGAATATTTTGGCAAACACTAGCCATCTCAAAATAATACTTTGCTGGTGCTCAGGCCACCTTTATGTTCATATTTTTGGCACATTCGGATCTTGATGTCCTTCTCCTTTATAGCTAATGAACACCAATTCACCAATGTCAGAAACATGAAAAACGTTCTAACAAACTTTGAAATAGGCTGTTTATTCTGTCCATCCAAGTAAAGCCTACCCAGCTTTGCATAGCCATTATTCATTAAAAACAAACTTCTACCAAGAATTTTATCAATATTACATCTGTCTATTGATATGTTTCACAAAACTCAATGAAAGTTTATCCACCTCAGTGTACACAATAATGTCATGCCAAGGAGTGCATCATTTGCAAAACAGAACACAAGGAGCACACATGATCAGATCTGCTTGTTAACCTCCAAAATTATAAAATAATAGACTAATGTTAATTTGAACAATAAATTTGTTTTAATTTTAAAGTAATCCTTCAACTGATATTTTGTATTTAAATTCCAGGAGTTAAGGAAGAATTTAAAGAAAATTGTCATTTTATCAGGAGCTTTCAGGGCCTGGAAGTGAAAAAACTGATTTCCAGAAGCTTTGCAAATGCTGGAGAGAAAACAAGTCCAAAATCTCATAGTATAATTGGGGTATGACAATACTAACCCATCTCTGTTCTCTTTCCAACATGTTGATTTCCATCCAGTGGTAAGGAAACGAAGATGGTACTCTAAACAAAACTTCAGAAGTATTATAGAATACCAGAATAACTTTCCTATATTTTGAAATCGAAATTCTTATCAAGAGAACCAAGAACTAATTGCTCTTTTTCTCCAAAGTTTAGAAATCAACAGAGGGCTTTGTTTTACAAACACTCCTAAATTTTTTTTTCTCATTATACCACCAGTGCTCTTCTTACTTAATAAAGAAGTCTTTTCTAAATTTTCACCCTCAAGTATGACTTTGCAGTCAATATTAACACCCATTATGTTCTAGCCCATTCCCTAGACTGCCAAGATCCTCCTTAACAAGACTAACATTCTCATCAAAGAATTTAGAAATGTCACTGTCAAAGAGGCAACTGTTCATGGTTCTCATCTACACTCAGGACTTGAAAAACAAGTGTCATTCTGGTAGCTCTTTGTAGGTGATTACAATACCATTTCTAGAAAAATCTAATAACAAAAAAAGATAAAAACTAAAACACAAGTTTATCACAATTCTTACGAGTTACACAAAAATATTAGCTAATCAGCAAAAATTTAAATATATCATGGGCCATTATCTTTTACATTTCTTTTATGATGTGTTTTACTATGTGTAGTTTTTGCCTATATTCATAAAAGCATTTATTACGGATAAACTCACACTGATTACATTCACAACACTGCATTTTCCTTGGCTTAATTCAAGGTTACAATGAGAGGCATATTTCCCAAACCAGGTCTAACTCAAAGAGGTAAGCCAAAATTAAAACATAGGCCTGCATTAAAAGATTAGAAAAGACTAAGTGAGAAAAGGCCATTCAGTCCAACAAGATCACTTAACAAACCAGCCAATTTAACTATAACCTTCTCAAATCTTTTTTTTCACTGTTGAAACTACATACTATGGTAAAATTATTTTCATCAGACACTCCATTACATTCATGATCCAAATGTTTGTAGAAAAATTATCAGCCCTAGCCTTCAGATGTTCTTTTATGCACTGTTCTAAATGATGTGTGGTTGATCCTGTATAATCTCCTCCAAATTGAGGACAAACATAATGATAAACAATGTTTTCTCATTTTTAATGTCCAAAATAAGTGATATTGCATGTGGTATGACTGCATAAGTATGGATTTAAAAAATTTTTTGAAACAGGAATTCTCTTTACCAACGCTATAATTTTTTTCTAAATGTTTATAAATAACAATTTAATTTTAATTAAAAAATAAATGTTTGTTTTTGATTGCTTTAATTTTCATATTAGCCACATTACTAGAAATACAGATAAAAAGTTTTGAAATCATTGAATTATAGCCCGACTAAACTGATCATTTAAACAGTTGTTTTAATTTTGACTTATTTAGGTTATTTTAGAACTAGTCAACACTACTTAATCCAAATTACTATATTATAGTTTTGTTTGTTGTTAAGCACAAAGCTAAACAATGGGCTATTCTGTGCTGTGTCCACCATGGGTATTGAAACCCGGTTTTGGCATTACAAGTATTCAGACTTACCTTTGTGCCACTTGAAGGCCTATATTATCATTATAGTGAAAGTTTCTTCTTTACATAAGAAAAATACTGCTCAAATGGTGACCTCCAGATTATATCTACCATATGAAATGAAGGAATGTTTCAAAAATTACTTAATATAAAACAAACAGAAGGTGAAAATAGCAAGATAAATACCATATTAGAATAATGAAGTGGTTAAAAATATTATGAAGCTACTGCCACCATTTTTTTTTTATTTGCTTGTTTAGGGGAGTGACTACCATGTTGTCGGGAATTGTGTACTAGTCGATTAGTTAGCCAATCAATTAATCAGTTAGCACATACCACTAATCACCCAGCTCTACAACACACTACTCATATGAGACCTTACAATGTTTTCTATAGTGTGATGATAATCTCCCTATTCTTCAGCTCACACCATTTGTAAACAGATCTCAGAACCTGATTTGCTATTTTTATCACTCTCAACATAACCTTAGTACAGTTTTTTAGCACAAACTATACACTTGTTAGAAACAATAAACAGTAATTTTGTCGAGGTTTTAGTTAATTTGCCTGTTGAAAATATGTACCTACCTTGAACTTGGTGTTTCAGCGGGTATAAGCGTTTCTCTTTTCTTTGGAGTCTTTTTCTTTCTCTGCTGTGCTCGTGGCATAGTGACAGTCAATGAAAAGCAGCTACTGATAACCAGTTGTACATCTCACTTTGACATGATACTATAGCATTAAAAATATTACTCATTATGATCCTATATTTCATTAAAATTTTGAAATCTGGAAATTATTCTGTTAACCCTAGAATTACCAATGGGAAACCCCTAGCCTTTAAGACACATTTTCCTGAACTATTATATACTAAATTCCTTGTAGGTTAATGTTTTTTATTGGTTACAGGGTCATTAATAACATACAATTTTTCAAAAAACAAAAAAGTTAATTACTGCTAGTGTCCTCTACATATTTTACATAAAAGAAGAGTGAAATAACTCATTTACTTAGAAGTACTATAACAAAAAACAAAAATTTCTCAGTATAATTAATATATGAACTCTGTTAATAGTGAAGGTTGGTATCTGGTGGGTTAATACACAGAGATATGCCTCCTA